AGGGTCTCCATGCCACACGGCGTGTCTTTCAATCCCTGGCCAACGCGGCTCATCGCCAGATCCGGTTCTTACCTGGTGCCGCTGTTCCACTTCGGCCACAGAGTTCCACTACGGGCACTTGGGCTGGCGTTCTTCAAGTAAGTGATTGGCCAGCACATGCTCTTACCCTTCCGTGGGCAAACTTCGAGCACAGTTGTGGACGCATCCACGTTAGCAAGTTTGTGACCAGCGCCTTCCCTATCATCGGTGCCACTATCTACGCCTGGTCCCCAGGACCTACGTGGCCACGAGCGCGTGCACATACGCAAGGTCTACTACATCAACTGACCCAAAACTTAGTGTTGGGGAGTTCCGGCGCTCGCTTCATTGCTGGAGACTTCAATGACGCTTCGGGACAGTATGATGAAGTTGAGATCTGGTTGCAGCTGGGCTGGCGTGAAGTCCAAACTCTTCGATTCCAGGCCGCTGGTGAGCCACCCGAGGCCACATGCAAGGGAGCTACACAGCCGGACAAGATTTACATCTCGCCCGAGTTAGCCTTGCATTTTCAAGGAGTCACTGTCCACCATTGCTTTGCAGATCATGGTGTAGTCGAGGCCAAATTCCATGTCCCGAACTGTCAATCCCATCAGCTTTGCTGGCATATGCCTGTGCCACTGCCTTGGAATGGTTTGGATCTCCAGGACTGGCCTAGACATGCACGGCCACCACCAGCACTAGCCAACTGCCTAGACGTTACCGAGCACTACCACCTTCTGGGCAAAACTTATGAAGACAGCTGTGCCACTGCGCTTTTGCAGCAACGGGGCTTTTCTCTCCCATCCCATTGTAGGGGTCGTGGGGCCACTTTGCAGCCTCACACTCGTCCCACTCAGATGCCTACTTTGCGTCCATCTCGGGCGGGTGAAATTGCTCCGGCAAGCAGTTTTGTCAATCGGCAGCTTCAACATTGGTTTCTTCAGTTGAGGAGGGTGCAATCACTTGTGCACAATTGTCGAGCCAATCATCATCATGCAGCCGCGTTGGAGTATCGCCTCACCACCTGGCGGGCCGTGCTTGCAGCGAAGGGCTTTGGTGACTCGTTTGCTATGTGGTGGCAGCAGCGACCTGTGCGGCTTCAATCGTCTGTTGCCTGGATTCCTACGTTGTGTCCTGACCTTGCCACACTGGAGTCATTGTTTGATGATTTGCAAGCCAATTACCGCTCCATGGAAAGTTGGCACTTGCGAAACCGACAACGAGCTCTTCAGCTGCGATACCACGAGTGTCACAAAGCTGCGTTCTCAGTGGTGCAGTCACCAAAATGTCCGCCACTCACTGCACTTCGCCGCAATGAGACTGCCGAGATCCTCACAGTGGACCCTCAGCAGTCGTTAGTGCATGTTGATCGCCCTTTTACGGACTGTGCTGCCAGTCACTGGTATCTAGATGATTGTCCTGCAATCGTTGAGAAAATCGATGAGCAGCTCTACAAGGTCACTTCAGACTTGCTGCTGTGTCCTGGACAAGAACTGGAGCAACGTTGTCATTTTGCCAAGACTGAGGAAGCACTCCAAGAGTTGGCCACTTTCTGGACACCACGCTGGAATAGGCATGCTGACCTCCCGCCAGATGCTTGGCGACGAATCATTGCGTTCACAGAGCATTTTATGCCTGCCCTGCCCTTGCAGCTGCCGGAGCTATCAGTTGCCTCCTGGGATGCCATTAACCTCCGCTACCACGACCACTCAGCGGTGGGTCCTGATGGATTTGATCAGTGTGATCTTCGTCGGATGCCCATATGCTACAAGCAGTCCATTGTGACGCTGTTTCGCCACATTGAGGACACTGGCGATTGGCCTTGTCAACTACTACAAGGGCATGGCATTCCTCTCCCCAAGCACTAGCAAGCGGAGGAAGTGGGCCACTTTCGGCCCATCATCATCTTCAGCATGTTGTATCGCAGCTGGTCGAGTTGCCGCAGTCGTTCTCTTCTCTCACAACTTGGCCATTATGTGGGCTCAGGTTCCAAAGGTTTTCTTCCGGGACGAGAAGCTGGTCAACTTTGGATGTATGTGCAAGCACTGATCGAGATTGCCCTGCAAAGTGATCACAGCCTTTCTGGCTGTAATACGGATGTCATGAAAGCCTTTGAAAGTGTGCCTCGACAACCGTTACAAGCGGTGGGTCATCTCCTTGGATTGCCTCCTGCGCTGTTGAGAGCGTGGTTTGCCTTTTTAGATGGCTGTGTCCGACGATTCACTCTTCATGGCACGGTTGGTGCCGGCCTCACTTCCAGCTCGGGGCTACCAGAAGGGTGTGGGTTGTCTGTCTTGGGCATGACGCTCATCGACTGGATCTATGAGGTCTACCACAGTCGATATGCACCCAACTGCAGGTCGTTCAGCTTTGTGGACAACTATGACCTGGTCTCGTCAGCTATGAGTGACTTGTTCCAAGGTGCTTCAACCCTTAAATCGTATATGAGCATTTGGCACTTGGCTCTCGATGACTCTAAAACCTTCTTTTGGTCAGTTTTGGCACGAGATCGTGACCTTCTCCGTTCTTCAGGATTGTCGGTCAGGCTGCAAGCCTCGGACCTTGGTGGAGCAATGACCTACTGCCGACGTACTTCGGCAGGTGCTCAGCTTACTCGCCTTCGAGCACTTCAACCTCATTGGCTTGCCTTGCGGCGTTCACCTATGCTTCTGGGGCAAAAGCAACAGCTGATTTACGTTGCACTCTGGCCAAGAGCTCTTCATGCCATCGGCATATCCTTGCTCTCACCTACACACCTCCAGACACTTCGCACACAGGCCTGTAAGGCCTTGGGCTGGACATCAGCTGGGTCCCAACCCATCGTGAGGCTCAGTTTGTTGAGCATTGCCCCAGAGCTGGATCCGGGTTACTATCAGTTGCAGCGGGTCTTCACTGATTTCCAGCGTTTCCTGCGGAAAGACTCTGCCCTTCTGGAGTTATGGTGCGCCTATATGCAGAACTATGACGGAACATGGTTCTCGGGTCCCTTCAGCAAGATCTTGGAGCAGTGTGCGTTGATTGGATGGCAGATTCACTCACCGCCTTGGTTTCAGGACCATGACCAAATCAGATGGAACCTGATCGACATTCCAAAGTCATTGCTCAAACAACTGTTACTTGACGGATGGCATCAGCATATTGGCCAGCTCCTGGCCCGACGCAAAGACTTTGCAGGACAACAGGGGCTTCATTGGCGGTTGTCCAAAGAGGAAAAGTCGCTCACTGCCCTGCAGACAGCTCAACTGCATGCACTACGAGATGGTTCCTTTATGACGCAGGACTATCTGGGCAGATTTGACTTGCAGCGAGGTTTTCAATGCCAATTTTGCCCTGCCATGGATTCCATGCAGCACCGATGCTTGGAATGCCCCGCCCATGCTGATCTTCGTGCTCTTCATGGGACGGCTATAGAGATTTTTCGTACCTCTTCTCGCAACTTGGCTGAACATTTAATGCCCAGTCGCTTGATGACTTGGCCGGCTGCTGAACGTGCTCTCATGGACCTGCCAGACACCACTGCCGACTTCTTTGTTGAGGCTGACCAGCATGAGCACTATGATCTCTTCTCCGATGGCACGAGTGACCTGCCACGAGATCCTGAGCAATGTTTAGGCGCCTGGAGTGTTGTTTCAGCTACACATAGAGGGGTGGTGAGCTCCGGTGTTTTGGTTGGGCTACAGCAATCCAATAACAGGGCAGAGCTCACCGCTGCATGGTCAGCGGTGCAATGGACACTACTCCATCGAGTACATGTAACTCTGTGGACAGACAGCTCGATGGTAGCCTCAGGTTTCCAACGCATGTGGGTCGATTTCACCGACGTGCCTTCAGAAGAGCATGAGGACCTTTGGCTTCTCATTGCGGGAGGCCTTGCTCAGCTCCCAGCTCAAACCTTCCGGGTATGCCATGTTGCCTCTCACGCTGACCCCGAGCAGGCCAGTTCAGAGGTAGATGCCTGGCTTGCACACTGGAACAACGTGGCTGATGTTCAGGCCAGGCGTACACAGAGTCACCGGCCAGATACCTTCAAGCTGGTTTGGCGAAGCTACCAACAAGAGCTTTTGGAAACTCGGCGACAGTTAGCCTTGCTTCGTGGCTTTCATCTCGCTCTAGCTGCAGACCGGCGCCGACGTGCGCAAGTCATGTCCTCGGATGAGGTTACCGAGGATCAAGCGGTTCGAGAACTGAGTGCTTCTGAGCGTAGGCCGGCGGATCCAGTTCCTTGGCTCGATGGCCTCCCCCTCACTTGGGCGGCCGAGTGGAGTCGCAAGAATTCGTTTGATTTTGGAGAGACTTTTTCTGTGCAGTGCATCATGTGGTTGCTCTCCCAGCAAGCGGCAGCTGAGGAGTTTTTTGAAATCTCTTGGTTTGAGCTGGCCGCAGCTTTTTACTGTAGTGGTTTTTGTCACCCACACCTGTCCACCCATGCCAATCAATGGATTGAAGTTCGAGAGGGTCGTTTTTCGGAATCTAGCCTTACTGTTGCTCTTAGGGTTCGTTACGCTAGGTCGCTTGTGCGCTTTTTAGCCCGTCATTTCAGTTTGTCGGTGGTTTTTGTGAATGGGATTGATTTACGTCGACTGAATGTGAACTATCCTTTGAGTGGCTTGGTGCTCGGACTTACTGCTTCCACTTTGAGGCAAGTGGATCAGCTCCTTTTAGCTTTTACTGCCCGCCGGACTGTACGTACAGCCACAGACTTGGCCAGGCCTTTCGTTCGATAGCTTTCGACTCACTTCAGACTTGGACCAGCTGCTCTGCTTCGCTGAGCACTGGAGCTTCGCAAGAGCGTCCGCATGTGTTTTTTTTTGTCCAAACCTGGAGCAACTTTTGAACAGGACCGTGCCGTTGTGTCTTTTGGAGCCTTTCTCCGTTCGTTTGGAAGCCGTTGATCTAAAGAAACAGCTCGGAGAGCTGCAGGACTCCAGACCCCAGATTGCACCAACCAGACCAGACCCACACTGAACCGGTACTTAGCGGAGGAGCGCGCAGAGCAACGGCGCTTGGCGGAGCTGGCGGACGAGTCAGAACGGCTGAAAGCCACGATCGCAAGGCAGCAGGAGCAGATCAATGCCTTGCTGCAGAAGCTCGGCAGAGTTTCACCACCCTGCCACTATGTGCCACTTCTACAAAATGTCACGGATTGTTGAGGTGTTTGGTGGGGGCAGCATCAGGAATTCGAAGGGTGGCGTATAGTATACACTCCGAAACGACGCATGTATCACCGGATTGCCAACGGAACGGTGCGGAATCGTGCACCGGACGGGATGGGAGTCGGTCGATCCCATACTCCGCCACCACACCCGGATGGGCTCCGTTCTCGGACCTTCGTTTCGTTTCGGTGGGACTGGGGTGGGTGCCAGGTTCGGGTCCAGTCATACCTTCGTTTCGGAGGTACGACTATAGGGCCGCCCGACTGGGGACAGTAGATCCAAGTCGATTGGAGGGTTCCTACCGGACGTCACTCCATGGGACTTTGAATGGTTTACTGTGTTTACTTACATTGGGGGTCATGGGCCAATGGGTGTAAATGTCCTTACATGCATGGGTGTAAGGGCTAGGGACGAGCTCTTGTTGACGGCCCCTGCCCTAAGGAAGGAGGTCGGCGCGTCAGACGTGCCCGCCGCAAGTCACGCGGCGTCCGAAGTGCCTGCCGCAAGTCATGCAGCTGGGAAGGCAGATGAAGTGGTCCCCTAGATGTCCAAAGACTATGAAATAAATAGGCTGAATCCCGAACCAACTAAGGATTTTTACACTACAAAAACCAGTTCGCCCATTGTTTCAATGGTTGAACGGAAGTCTATAGGGTGTCCAGATTCCTCGCAATTGGTGGCTTCGATGCGAGGAATCTGGACCGCGCAGTATGCCAGGGTGGGATGGAATGGATGGAAGTCCCCCCACACAAGGAAGTGGTTTTTGGTGTTTCACCTGAGCGGTTCGTGACTCCGTGACCTCTTTGAAGTTTTTGTGTCTTGTGACCTAAGTCTCAATCTTGTACAGACCTGTCGGTGACCTCCTGGGAGATCAAGGTTTGGTCACGTACTGAAGGTCCAGAAGTTCATACTGTGAACTTCTGGGCGTGTCAAACAGGCACCCGAAGCTTCGGGATCCTAGGTCCTTGGTCCTCAAGTACTTCGGGATCCATTAGCAGGGCCCAATTCTGAAGTTCTAGTGCCATCATCACTGTTTGGTGGTTGTGGAGGAGGTGGTTCATTTCGGTTTCTTACCTTTCTGGGCATTGGTCAGAGCAGCTTAAGACTGGCCCGGGCGCCTTTTATAATTGAGACATGTTGTCAAGTATCAACCGATCTACCTACATCGTGGTTGGTTGAGTTTTATTGTAATTATAGTAATAAGCCTATTCCCTGCACATAGTGTTTGGGCTGGATGCTTCGTTCAGCTGCCACCTGCCCCAGTTCTCCCGCTCGGCCTCAAAAAGCGGCGAACGCGCCTTGCGCAAATCTGAAACCAGCAACTATGCTCCCGAAAACTAGCATCTACCCTGGGAATGGGACCCGGAAAGGCTGTTTTCATCTACAAAGCAGTGGTTTTCAGGGTCCATGTTAGTTTTCCACGGGGTGCCGCTGCCAGGCAGAGAACTGGAGCTGCAAGGATTGCACTTTTCAGAACGTGGAGCCGCTCCAGGAGTGTGGCTCGGACGGGGAGAGCAGAGCACCAGAGCAGGGCTGGAGAGCAGGCTTTGCGCCCGCTGGATGCCTTTTGCGGGGTGGAGTAGGCTTCAGCCTAAGACTCACAAGAGAAGAAGTGGCGGGAAGAGAGCTTTAGTGGTGAAGGAAGCGTGGAGGGAAGGTTACATGAAAGCCTGATCCTGAAGAAACGAGTTTGAAGATGAAAGTAAGAAGAATTTGCTATCAGGGCATGACTACCATGTGCTTTTCCCTTTGGTGCTGCGTCCTCAAATGAATGAGCTGAGAATGTGTGTGTGTATGGTTTTGTTTCACAGCCACCTGCTGCAACAGATTTTGCATCCAGGATCTTTTAGGGATGTTGAAGGCCTCCATCAATTGCAATCAATCAAGGGAGTTCCTTGATCAAGCTCCAACCTTCATGGGCCAGAGGCTTTTTGCCAGACTCATAGACAGAATCTGCTAGAAACAAGCTAATACGTGCCTCTCGTGGGAGCTCAACGACGCCAAAGACGTTGTTAAATGGAACCCTTGCCGGTGTTCATCCTTGATTAGGCATCGGCCTGGCACAACCTGCAAATTTGGTCATAGAAATCCTTTTGAGGATGCATCGGCTAGGCCTAAAAATTACGGCTTGGGCCTAGGCTGTACACATGAATCCCAGCACTATCAATCACTATCTTCGCCTCACCAAACGTGTCTTGTTCCACCACAGTGCCAGGTGAGATGTGCGGCGCTCCACGCGTCTCCACGGTGCCGGAAGCGCCGCCGGCCAAGCGCGTCCGCCGCGCGCCGCCGGTGATCGACGTACCCGTGGAGCCGCCGGCGGTGGAGCCGGGTGCGGCGGAGTTCTTGCGAAGGGCGACGGAGGTGGTGGAAGCTTCGCAAGGGTGCCTTGGCTTGACTGTGACTCGGCGTACTGAGACATCTTCTGGGTGTTCGAGCGCAGGATGTTCGGATCACCCGAGCGCCAGCGCCAGAGGAGGTAGGCCCGAAACGAGGGTCCGGAAGCTCGGTCCGGAAGCTCCGCTCCCTCCAGCGGTAGTAGCACCCGCATGAGGTCCCATCCATCACGGGTTGTCGACGACGTCAGTTCTGCTGGATCTAAGAGATGGAGACCACCCGAGGGTGGTACCCTCATGGCACCCTCCAAGACAAGGCCGGGTAATTATATTAAGATACTCCATTTTGTATTGGAATAGTTACTATGGGTCATTTTCGTGGGGTGTTTCATGTATGGTACCAATGGCGCCTATTCCAGTCGCATTCGTTTTTGTTTATTTTTATGTGTTCTGTGGATCCACTGACACCTTCACCAATTTGTATAATTGTAGTTTCAAGATACGTATATACTCGTAATGTAATGTGTGATTTGTTTTGGTTTTCTCGGTTGAGATGGTCATGTTGACCCATCAGCAGGATCAGGGAAATCGGCTTTGTCCAAAATACTATACCTGGAACCTGAGTGAACCCTGTTTGGGAGAATATCAAATGGATTCAACAAGGTCATGTTTGCACATGAGTGGTGCATGACGAACATGAACCAAACATCACCAAACTAGATACACACGGCGTCCGAGCTTCATTTTAGCTCACTGACCATGTAGCAAAAGAGTTCTCTCCGTTTCGTTCGGCTTCTTTGCCTTGATTTGGTATTGAGAGCGTTCTCTACACATTGGACTCCTTCCTTCGCTTTCAGAAGGTCGGTTCCATTCATACACTTCTTCAACCTGCCCTTCCTTAAGTCACAGAATCCCATCCTTCAGTTTTTTGCGTATCAGCCATGGGCAAGAGGGACAAGCCAAAAACCTTGGGAGGCACTCCTCCCACACCGCAAACCTCTCCTAAAAACAGCTCTCCGGATAGGAGCACCTCAAACTGCTGATTGAGACAGAACGCCGCAGAACACACCATCTTCAGGTTGACAGGACCTGCCACGTGCCCTTGGCAGGTCACAGCCCTGCTCTCGAAATGCCGCTGAGCTGGTGGAGATCCCACTGGAGGGTGAGGAGGCCGCAACCAGCAGCGAGGCTGGTGGCCAGTCTTTGGCACGGCTGCCGCGGAGCTTCCATGAGAAACTGTGCCTCGTGTTAAGCTTTAGGACTGCGGTGAGCTTTTGCGGAGAAGGGTGTCCAAAATAGACAGACGGGTGTTCTCATTTAAATAAATCATGGCCTATTCGATCTCTAGCGGGACTGGAGAACCTGGGAGGGCCCCTTGAAGAAAGGGCCCCTGCCTGTTCAATGGAGCCTTCCAGCCTCAGAACCTGGAACAGACCCATTTGACGTGGATTGTAAATGGATTGTAACTAATGGAGGCACATGATTCCAACCCCCCCAGAGGGTTTGCTTTAGGACAAGGGTTCGTAATGATTTGTTTACAATCGTGCCGATCGGGAGTTGGTCGATTGGTCTATGAACCCTACAACCCGGGTCGTACCTCCTCAGAAGGTATGACTGGACCCTCCAAAATCACCCCGAACACCTTCTCACCCTAGAAGCCTCCCACTCCCACATCCTTTCAAGACTTAAGCTGGTCTCCAGCTTCTTTCGCCTTGTTCCAGGTGCCCCTACCAGCGTGCAGGGGTGGCCTGGATGTGGCGCCTCAAGCAGCGGCGCTCGGGAGGGATCCTGGCCGACGAGATGGGTTTGGGGAAGACCGTGCAGGCCTGCGGCATGATCCAGGCCGGGGCGACTCCATGCAGGTGGGAGTTCCGAGGGACTTCGGGGGGTCAGTTTGGTGTTATTGTATGTGGGGGGGGGATAGTGCAGGGATGTGCCAGGGGTTCTGGTCCCCTGTTCTGGTCCTCTCAAGAGACAACATGATAACAACTCATGTAGATTTGGGATGTTGCTTTGGCCAGAAACCGTTGCACCACACAGACCGGAGACCCATAGATTTCCACCAAAAGCTTCAACCATCTTCAACCTTTTGAGAGTCACTTACCGGCTCCTGGAGGGACTGGGGGGTGCTAGGAGGGTCCCAAATGGTCCAAATACCTTCTGAAAGAGGTACGACTGGAGCCCTATATAGGGCTATAGGCTTTTAGTCACAAACAGAAACACCCAAGAGGTTACAAACTGAAGGTCGGTCCTGGCATGTGGCCATGTGTGTTTCCAGTATCATTAGAGGCTGTGTTGTTTTCCTTTTACCTTCCACCTTTGATTTGCACCAACAATTGCTGTCCGTGATGAGTAGTGGATGGACTCGATGTGAAATTTGCACATGAACTTGGCCCTGCACTCCTGGAGGCCCTGCAGTCGCCCAGTAGTCGCTCCAGCCACATCTTAGTGATTATGCCCGTGACCCTGTTGGATCAGTGGGCGAAGGTGGGAGCCGAAAAAGAACGAAAATAATATGGCGGTGTTTGTCCCATTTGGTATGAAGTGTTGCTTAGACATACTTTGACATGTTTACCTTTTGATCAGTGGCATGGTACATCCATGTGGTAGGTGGAACCACCTTTGGTCATGAAATACGGCAGCGTGGGGAGGTCGGAGCCTCGCCGCCGTGCAGTTACTCCTGTAATCTTCTGGCGTCGAATCTATGAATCAAGTCTTTTGTGCATATGTCACGGACTTCGTCAGACCTTCCACGCCCCCTTCGGTTCGCGGGGGTGGGAGGAACTCCAATCAGTGCGCCCAGTCTTGTTTCCTCATTTTTGGTTCTTTTGGGCTACTGTGTAGTGGCGACCGGTGACGAAGTAGAGATGGGTTGCAAAACACTGAAGCATCCGCTGGTGGCCTCGTCTATTTTTGCTGACCGGATGGGACATGCTATAGACCAGGTGTGCTTTTCAACAAAATTGAACCCAGGAACTTGAGTGTCAACTCCGTATCATCAACTGTCCAAAACATTGCCTTTTTCCGATTAAAAAGGAGGTCATGTTTGGGTTCTATAGTGGTACTTCCAAGTTATTTGAGTTTGAGGAAATCAGTGACCTCTTCAAGAAAGCCATTATAATTTTGAAGGAGTGCACTGCGAATTGTATAAGAGGGTGTGGCAAGTGTCCAGTTTATCCCACACCCAAATATGGTGACCAGTGGGTACACATGTGTTTTTCCCTCATGTTCCAAGATGGAAGAGTAAGACTCTGAAGTGATCATCGGATGTTGCTTTCTATTCTGGGCTGTTGGTCGTACATCATCCTTACTACTTGCACTCAACATGCTTGCTGAGCTTTGCTGTAACATGTATTTCTAATTGACACCGGACGAGGTCTCCCACGCACCGCAGGAATTGGCACGCTGGTGCCCCACAGTGCGGGTCTACATCTACCACGGCTCTTCAGGACCGTGCTGTGAGCAAAGCTGGCCAAGTTTGTAGCAGTCGCTGTGAGCATTTGTGATTTTCATCCACATTGGCGAAGAACAGAAACATCCCGGCGGAATTATTACCGCCCCACGATTTTTGTCTTTTTCTTTGTTTCGCTGCAGCGACAGCTGATTTTTGAGAAAGAAAAAAGGGTTCAAAAAAATGTCGTTGTTTTTTTGCGTTGTGCAACCCTTACAGCATTTTCTTGGCAAAAAGGGGTCCCCATCGGCACGTTCGTTTGTTGAATTTTGACCACATTTTGGAAAAAAAGTTTATGTTTTGTCACTACTACTAGTTAGTGCCTAGCATTGAGTAGTGGTTAGTAGTTGTAGTTCGATATGAATATATCCTGACGGGTTTTAAACACGCAAGCGCGCAAGCAAACAAATATGCGCAACACAGCATGCGTACTAGTATTGTGTAGCAACGTAGAAGGGTTTCTTATTTATGAGTGGGCAAACCGAACCTTGACATGCCATCCGAACAAAAGATATGAATAAATCCAGACGGGTTTTAAACAAGCAAACGCAAGCTAGCCAAAATGCGCAACCAAGCACGCGTACTCGTATTGTGTAGCCACGTAGAAGGGTTTCTTCTGTATGAATGTGTAATTTGAACCGAACGTTAACATCCCACCCCACCCCACCCTTCCCCACCCCAACCCCCACCCCACTCTCAGTCGCTCGCATTGTGTGGCAACGTAGAAGGGTTTCTTCTGTATGAATGTGTAATTTGAACCGAACGTTAACATCCCACCCCACCCCACCCTTCCCCACCCCAACCCCCACCCCACTCTCAGTCGCTCGCATTGTGTAGCAACGTAGAAGGGTTTCTTCTGTATGCATGTGTAATTTGAACCGAATGACATCTGAACCCTCGGAATCGAGGCACTGTGCTGAAGTCGTCCATCTCCAAAACATCCATGTTTTTCTGGATGTTTTTCTGGGCGGTAAAAATTCCGCTAGCAGAAACATGATGAAGCTCATGCAAATGTCATCAAATTTCTGACCTTTTCCCTGCTTGTGTGCTTGCTCCAGTGATAAAACATTTGAGCCATATTTGGGCCTTATTTGCCGAATACTTGAGAAACGACCTGTGGCCACCACTTGGTGGTTGCGAAGTCAGTCTTGGGACACACGGGAATTCAATGGTTCACACTTGTGGCCCGTCGATTCTCAGCTGGTGAATGGAACGCACGACAACATCCTGGCATTTTTGTTTGGTCTCAGTGTTTGCGTCGAAGGAACCAATCTTTTGGGGGAGCTGAGCCAACGCCGATCTCAAACAAAAAGGCGGCCAAAGTCTCCAAGTCACACTGGAGCCACTGACAGCCATATACTGCAATTGGTTTGGGACTGACTACCTCTTCCAATTGGCTCCATCGGGTCCCACTGGGCTCCATTGGATTCATTTGACCCTTTTTCATCCACAACCGAGGGCATCCAGGCAAATCACAATAGCTGGTACCAAAGACCAAAACCATAGACCTAGAATCCATGGTTCCTTAATGTTCCCTAGATAGTGGTAACTGGGATCCACTGGGCAAACTACTGGAGATCCAGTCGTACCTTCTCAGGTACGGTGATGTGTTCGACACCGTGATTTGCCGATGCCATTGTCGGGTTCGCGACTGGATCCCAAACGGGATTGATCGTCAGGACATCGAAATCGAGCGCTGCGTGCCGTCATGCGCGGCGGAGTGCTTCTGACCTCGTATGCGATCCTGAAGAACGAGGAGGAGAAGCTGGCGTGTGTGAATGCCACCAGACGAATTATTTTACAGTGGTTTCAGAGTAGATGGCACAATCCCCAAAGGTCGGTTAAATGATGTTAAATGGACTCCCATTGGAAGGACCTTTTGTTTTGTTCTTTTCTGTGTCATCTACTCCAATGATGTGTAGTGGTAGTAGTGGGGGTCAGAGTAGATACAAAGAATCGAACGAATGTCCTGAAGAGGCTGAAGAGGATTTCCCAATTGGGGGTGGAATAGTAGTGGACATCAAAGTGGCATTTGCTCAGGCAACAGAAGCCACTTCGACTGATAGATGGACTTGGAGAGTTCTAAGCCTGCTTGGAATGCCGTTAGCATCCCACATGTTCAAGTGCAAGGAGCCAAAGAAGACATCAAGCGAAGGAGATCTCTCTCCGGGTCTTCCAAGACTATATATATATATTGTGTTTGAGGTCATGTTCCCTAAGTAAGTCACTCAGTTGTGTGGGTCGAGTCTGCTCGTGTGATTCTTTTTTCAGCGCTAGGGGGGTGGTGACACGTTCTCACAGGGTCCCATCCCATGGGTTGAAAACACTGGCGTGCCCTGAAATCCGAACCCTTTTGGGCTAAGTTCACCCAGGGGCTTGGGACCTCATGGCTTGAAGCTGAGCGTGGGCATGGGACGCTGTTTTTCGCTGAGGCTTCGGAGGCGATGCAAGGCACCTGGTTGAAGAAGAAGGAGGACTGGATGAGGGGTTCACTAAGACCCAAAACCCGGATGAAGCGAGAATGTGATTGACGTTGGTGCCCCCTGGCTCCATATCTGATGATCTCACAGAGGATGGACAAAAACAACCAACACCTTCCAACAGGTTTCCGAAAGGGTGGCTTTTGCCGGCTTTAAAGTGGCAGGTGGTGACCTGGCAGGTTTCGGGTGCGACAACCCCTCCCAGTTCGAAGGACCTGCCACGTGACAAGCCCTGGGACTTGGCTCCTCGGCACAGGGCGCGCACCAGCCTTACAAACGCGAACGCACCGTGCGTTCCTTGGTCCGATGGCGTGAATGTATGGCGCAACAAACGTCCATGGACCTCCAGACGCGTCGCCGAAGTGTTTGGACGTGCTGTGAGTCGAGTGCTGACTCGTGCTGTCTGCTGAGTTTTCGCATGGTTTTCGTGAACTTAGCCATGATTAGTGAAGAGTGCTGTTTGGAGAAGAAGCATGTGAAGAGTGCTGTGCGATGTGACATCTCTTTCCTACTTTTTCCAGAGAGAGTCATGGACGGGCAACAAAAAGAGGGTGAAAGGATACGGTATGTTTCTTGCATTTTCTGACCACTGTAGTATGGCACCGTTTTTTATGCTTGCAGAATGCTGACTCAAAACTATGAAAAACCTACAGTAACTCCCCAAAAGGGTAACCCCTTTCAAAAGGTCCATTCTGTTCCAAACTGGCCTTTGGAATCCTTTGGATGAGGTCATTTGCGACGAGGCTCACGTGATGAGAACCATTTCCACTTTGTTGGGCAAGGCCGATCGCGGGTTCAACGCGTGGATGACACAGCGAGCTCCACCTCTGTGAGTTTGGTTGGCGCCCCACAGTGCCACAATCGGATGTGAAGCCTTTGAAGCAACCACTTCACTTATTTTGACTCACAGTGCCAGGAGTCATTTTGGGAACACATCGCGGGAAAGATCGAGAGGGTGTCTTATTTTGGACAGTCTGGTTGCTATTCGGTGTGTAACACTTGGGGGTGTATCCAAGGGGTGCTCCAAAATCTGCCTGCAAAGAGGATGAATTATGTTCCCTCAGATGGCACTTTCACCCACTTTCACTGCTCTTGGAGGACCATGATTTCTCCACCAAACCACCTGGAAAGCTCGGTCGAAGCTGAGACGGGATCTCCTCATGTTCGGGAGGCGATGCGGAAGATCTCCTCCTCCTGTCGCATTTTGCTCACAGGCACTCCTGTGCAGTAGCTTGGATGTGTGGCCCGGGGGAAGTGGAGCCAGCACAGAACGGAAGCGCGAGAAGCTTCTCATTGCCTTAAGGGCGACCCGTGCCATGGCTTTTTCCGTGAGGTCACTCACCCAAGTACCGCCCTCCAACATGGAAGTGGAAAGCCACCGGTTTGTAGAGGAACATGGCCATCCAAGAGGGCATACTTCCACTTCGATGATCATTTGAGTGTAGATCTAGCATCATTTCTCAAGAGTTTGGGAATCAGAATAGGTCGCTGCAAAAAGCCCGAGAGAAATGTAGGGCACGGGCATTTTGCGAAAGTTTGACAACTCAACTCAACCCCCCCTGAACATGTTCCCTCAAAGGTTACTTTGATCTATATCAGGGAATTCATGTTGGATCTGACAACCAAGCGACAGCACATGCCGACTGAAGAAGCGTTGTTTGAATCCGATCAAGCCATGCACACCACATGCCGACTACACCACTCGACTCATACACCTTCTGAACTTCCGCCCAGTCCGGTCCCAACCACCTCAAAGAAATGACACGCCTTGTTGACCTGCATCTCTCATCAACCGTTCTCCTCCTCCTCCTCCGTGTTTTCATGTGTGTTCCACCCTCTCGAGCCCGGCCGGTGTGGTATTTTCCTGGGCGAATCGAATCGAGGAATGCCTTGCAAGATCTTTGGGCTCTCATGGACTTCGCCGAGCCTGGACACCGGGGCGAAAAGGAACGGGCCAAGGAACGGGCCACGGTCCACGGAGGAAGTTCATGGTGCACGGTTTTAGGCGTGGATTTGTGGAGAGCATCAGGGGGATTGTTTGGACATCAGTTGAAATCATGACTCACACTCCCCAAATATTCATCATGGGCCTGGCCGTGGACGGGGACAATAGCCCCGAAGACTCTCCGAAGAGCAAGCAGGTGGTTTTCACGCCGAAACTCGGATGATTTCAGCAGAGATAAATGCCAGGAGTTCCATGTCGGAGTGTCTATTGGGCAGTAGAGACTGAACCATGATCCACCGGCCTCTTTGGGGGGACCGGCCCACCATTGCGTTGGAACTGCTGGTGGGCCTGGCCCTACAAAAGGAAGTGGCGAAACCGGTGTTGTGTTGTGTTGTTCCTTTCTCTTGTTATATAATGTAGTCCTTTGATTAATAAAGCCCCCTAGAATAATGTCCATTTTTTTCCTGCACTGATTAATAAAGGCCCCCAGAATAATGTCTTTTTTTTTTGCAGGGGTAATTGTAGTGGATTTTTTTAATTCTTATAATTTACTTTTTCCCTTTTGAGTTTGCTGGGATTTGCTTATCTTACAGGCCTTTGGATGAAAATTTCTATTTGAAATTTTGAGATTTCTATTATAAATTTTGAGATTTCCATTGAGATTTGATGCTTTTGGAGGCTTTTGG